CTTCAGAATAGTTCCTTCCAATTGCGTTAATCTGCATGTGGCTCTTTGACATATGAAAACCCACTTGTTAAGGACAGGGACATGTGAGCAAACTGATATTGCCCAGAACTTATGGCAGAGTTAAGGGTGAAAAGTACATTTTCCCTAAGCTAGCCAGGCTCAGCAAATGGCATGCTCCAACGTAACTTGCTATTTTTTTTTTCTCTTCCAAAAAAGCTTTTTAGCTTTGGACAAAGAAAAATAGCAAGTCTGGAAAGGCATTAGAAAAAGCTCTCAGGTGATTTCCACAAATTGTATGGAGTAAATGCTCTGAAGTGGTTAGTTCAGCAGCAGAGGGGAAACAGCTAGGGTTGTTCTTATCTGTATAAAATGTGGATGAATATGGATGAATACACAGATCTATGTGGATGTTCATATATGAAAACAGATTAAAGTATTTATCGTGCAAGAGTTTTAGAATTAAAAGTAGAATTTTCTTCTTGTACCCTTAGAAGTTTTGCCCTTTGTTTCTGAATAGAAGCAGCTTTAGCAGTTTTGCACCTTACACTCTTAGCTGCTCTACATGCACTGCCATCCGGGACCAAAACTCAAAGGCAAAGTTCAGATCATGCAGTATACATCAGCTGGTGGCAATTTGACAAAGCTGCAGCTACAGAAACAGATGTGTGAGAGAGCCATGAAAAACGATGCACACACTAATAAGCTGTTCTCCCTGTTTTGGGAACATGAAAATGAAAGAAAATGTATAATGTTTCCATCCTATTATCTATTCAGAGAAAAAGACATTTAAGCAATTAGATAGAAGTGTTGAGGGTTGTGCCACTCTGGACTGCTGTATCAGGGGAACCTATCAATTAAAGTGCAGCTTAATAAAAAGATATGGTTATATCTGCCCAGGCATTTCTAAGTAGTAACATATGAAAACAAAATAATTAAAATAGGAAAATTGAGACCTAAATACACTGAACCATTATGTGACTAGGCTGGCTATATAAAGCAGCATTACAAAACACTGAATCGAAGTTGCCAAGTAAGTGCTTGCAAAAGTATTTAAAGAAGCAATGTGCCAAGTCACAAACCCTTGCAGACAAAATCTTCTGATGAATCATTGTGCTCGTTTCAAGTCAGGTAATTTATTCCACAACAGACAGTCACATCTCTGGTATGGTGGGACCACAAAGACCAGAAAGCTTGTGGACTTCCCCAGAAGGTTCCAGTCCTGAAAGACAAATTTACCTCGAGTTTAACAAACTATGTATACACATTCAAGTGGTTTGAAAGTTATTAACACAGACAAGGTGATGAATTCTGGCAAATGTATGAAGCAAAGCCTGCAGTCCCAGGCTTTGGTGGTGTGGCCACCAAAGAGATAACTCAAATTCTCCTGTAGAATCTACCCAAGATCATTAGGTGAAACAACATCAGTTTTCAAAAGAATAAAATCAAAGCTGCCTAGAATAAATACTGTTGTGAGAAACAAAAGAAAATCCAGAGTTTCCTTCCACAAAGCTACATAGTTAAGTATTCTCACTTCTGTTTTTTGTTGTTGTTTAGAACATAACTACACTGAAGTACAGATTTCCTGGCTTTCTTTCTATTTTTTTCAATTCAGCAAGAGGTACCATAAATACCTGAGTAATAATATCAAGTTTATGACTACATTTGTCTGACCGTGTAAAGCAGTATCATCTGAGCCTAATGTCATATTTTCTAGCTTATCCCTCCTAAAAATCTTTAAGGAGAAAAGTACATTTTCAAAACACTGCATGGTATAAGAGAAAATAACTCATTAGCAAGTGAATGCATTTTCCCATGCAGATCTTTAAAAACATAATCCTCATGAGTGACAGGAAGGTAACCTACTGTGCCTTTCTTAGAGGAGAAATAAAAAACTTGTATCTGATTGCAGCCTTTTATATTGCCTCTCTAGGAAACACCAAGTAACTGAAATTCTACTTCATTTGAATTTGGGATTTATTCAAAAGATTCAGTAAAAATTGAATTAATATTAATCCCATTACTGCCACATCACATAAGCATTATGTTTATTGTAGAACTCCAGCCATAATGTTGCCGTTATGCTTTGTGATTAGCAGCAGTAACACATTTTATTCAAGGAACTACTGTCTTTCTGCTTCATTTGGCTTCACAGAGTTTGAAGCTTCTTTTTGCTACCCTTTGGTTTGCAAAATATGCCAGTTTGTGATGAAGCCTTTCCAAACAGGAACCTTTACGCCCTTGGGGGCAATATTTGCCTCCCAACAGTTCAAGTAAAAAAATTTAATTATAGGCTTTAAATATTACATGATATGACAGAACAGAACATGTAAAATAGCTGCTGCTATTCCAGTATGCTTGCTGCAACTTTATTTCAATTGGAATACATGAGACTTAAATCCGTCTTTCTTTTAAATTTGTTGGAAGAGAATGGAGGGGAAAAAAAGGCCACCAGGACATAATGAGCAATGTCACTCATTGCTGATGAGAAGCCCAAGCAGAGGATCCTTGTGAAAAACAACAACAACTTTGGCTTAAAATGGAACATCTTCGCCATCAGAATAAACTCGTGTCTTTTGGTGAGCAATAGAAGCACACTTAATGCTTTTAACATTTAAAATATATTTCTCTAAAGGAATGGTTGCTTCCCTTTGTATTTTGGAAAAGTGTATCAGTATTCTAACTCTGTACAGGCTCATTCAGACACATACCTTTAGAAGCGTAGATTACATGGGAATAATCAAAGCTCATAAGAGGGACATTTTCACTGCTGCAAGAAAAGTGAGGGCTTTGTATTAGAAATTATTTGGGCTGTCAGGTTTGCATAACTGCTGTTGTAATTATGAAAAATTGGTCTGTTTCTATTCAGAAAGGCCCAAGCCATTGCTCACTGGATAAATACAGAGAGACTAGAGCTCACATCCCCCTCAACACCAAACAGCTCCAAGTATGTGCATACATGGACAATACAGTGGAGGGAAAAAGTGGGACACTGAGGCAAGGTCAGGCATCCTGCACTTTACCATCGTTGCCAGTGATGAGTGTGGCAGAATTCATCTTTCCAGTGGGAAAATGTGTTAAGTCCAACTGAGATGCAAGAATGTTAAATATTCATTCACAGCACAAACTGATGCCAACAATGATAGGAGATGGGACATTCTTCAGTAGCTGATGGGCTAGATAATGCTTTCTAGTCTATTATTCCTGGTTGTAATGTGATGGAAGGTACTGCAATAATAGTGGGGTGCCACAATCCGACGCTGCAGCAAATGAGAACAAGCCCTGTGCAGCAGCCATGGATGCAGAAACAAAAAAGAAGAAAATCTGCTTACCTTTGTAAGATCTCAGGTAGATAGGGACCTCCAGCAAGATACCCTCCACTGCCAACACTTAAGTGAGGGCTGGGAAGGGATGGATCCTGGCTCCAGCCCTTCTGGTCACTGAGAAGCATTGCTTGCACATGAGCTCCTCTGGGTTGGCCCTGCATTCCCACCAGGTGCTCAATCACTGGTTCAAGCTGTGACTCAGCATTTCTGCTACTCTGCTCAATCCCTACTTGTATGAAACAAGTTTGTTCCCGAAGGGTACCAAACTGGGAGTTATATCAATATGTACATATGCACACACATATGCACATGTGCATATGCATATGAAGTTGCATTTTGGAATGTCTTTCACTCTTCCCTCTACAATTTCTAAGTTAAAAAAATGCTGATAAAGCCACAGTGTAATGAATCACTAACCTCTACAATGAAAAGGGCCAATAAGCATTATTACCAAAGGGAGAGCTGAAATAATTCTTGCTCTTACAGACCTTTCTAGTCCTTCCTGCCATCAGAATCCTCCCTCTCTTTAATTAGCAGAATTAATTATCAAGCTTATGAAGTGTGGTTTGAAAAGAACTAAGCTTAAAGAGCAGTAAGATTTATTAGCAAAGATAACTGAAAGTTGGAATCAGCTGATTTTAAAGACTTGTTTTCTAAATGGGAAACATTATTAAATCATCACCATAAAATTAAACAATTATTTCAAAGTGACACGAAGTACTACAGAAAGGAAAACAAGTTTTGTGTCCTATTAGCAAAAAAAAAGGTCAGTAGGGGGAAAATTAGAAAGGAAAATTAATTTCTAAGAGTAAATGCATGTTTAGAGATACAGAGGAAAGCATATCACCAAGGGGTAATATTTCTTTTTTTTTTTTTTCCTTTAAAGCTATAAATATCTCTTATATTTCATTAAATTCTGACCACAGGAGGACCTGTTCTGTACTAACCACATTATTCAGCAATAAATAATTATTGCAATTATTTAGACACTGCATTTACAGAACTTACATAAATGACCTCAACTGAGTATTTAAACTATACAAGTGTAAAATATGCTGTAGCTCAGAAATAAAATCACTCATCTACCCTTAACTTCGACTCAAGGGGAACATTACTGAGAAAGTCACAACAAGGTGGCATCCTTAATACATAATAATGACACATGCAGGAAATGCACCATTATTTATACATGTGACGTGCTGTAAATTGCTTCCATCATCAGAACTAATTGTAGTGATTATTAATGCAGTGTTATGAACTGTCAGAATTGCTCTATGTAATTACATTTGTGCAAATGCTTCATTACCTGCCTAATGAATTTGGCATATATGCACATGTAAACCACTGTTTTTGTTAACATAATGAAGGGCATTTTTTACCCCCTTAGCTACTGATGTGGAACTGGTTTGACCTATATTATAAAGTTCAGGCACCCACCACTAGGAAAAAAAATAAGGAAGAAGCTTTGATCTGGTTTATTTTCATTCTCAGCAACAGAACCTCATAATGCCAGATATTTAAATAACTGCTTCAGAAAAAAGCTATACCCCCATTATTCAGTATGAACAGGTGACTGGGACAAACTAACCTTGGCTTGTGTTTAACTGACCACTGTGCATGACCTCTCTGTGATTGCCTAAGTAGTTGCAGAGGACTGTGATGCAAACAGTGAGATCTCTAGTATTGAATGGGTATATTTATGTTTGCAGCCTGGAAGGCTAGAAGATTCTGCTGGCAACACGAGTGCGAAAATAATGAAAAAAGGATGCTCTTAAACTCCTGTGCTTTGCCACACAGTTCAAGGGTATCCTGCCAAAGGAAAAAAAGGATTACATTTATCCACTTAACAGCCAGCAATGTTATTGATAGCTGTGCCTGCCTCAGCTGCTGAAAGGGAATGCACACTGGCCTGAGTTTGGAAGAGAGAGAAACAAAGATGAGCAACTATGGCACAGTGTTTGGGGCAGTCTTTCCTGGAAGCAAAGTAGTTGATGGTTACCTTTTTATTTACAAGCATCCCTTAGGAATTACATCTGTTGAACTAAAACTAATAAATATAGGGAGTTTAAGTAGAAATCTGTAAATAAAAACCACTATAGTTTCTTTGCATAAACCACCCACAGGCTTCATTCCAGGTAGAAAATATGCAAGTTTGACATTTTCTGAAAAACATATCGTTCCTTCAGATTTTACACCATTTCTGAAACAGTCATGTTTGAAAGTGAAATTTAATCACAATTTTTTTGCTTTTGCTTTTTTGTAGTACTGGTAAAAACTCCAAGTAAAATTCTCTGAAGATTTCTAGCTAGTCTTAAAACTACTGAGATATTTTGGCATTTCCCCATAAATCTTGCAGAAATTAATTCTTGACTCTTTGACAGTTCTCTATGTTCTACCTTTAAATTTTAGAAGAAATAGACATAACAAATACGACTTTTGATACCCATAAAAGCATAGATGTGTGGAAGAAACTTCAGAGGGATAAACTCTTGGCTGCCAAAACTAAAACAAGTCATTGTTAACTGAACAACAGGTTGCAAAGTCTGAGCAAAAGTGAAGATTCTGTCTGACAAAGAAAAAACTGTGCTCAAGTCACAACCTTGAGTTTAACCATTAAAAATCCAAGACAAGCTTCAATCCTAAAGAAACAAAACATGAAATTTATTCCAACTAGGTAAGGTGTAGTTTCGTTTTCTCAATACTGTTTTTTCCTCCAAAAAATTAAGATACCTTGACAAGAGATGTGTTAAATATAATGTCTGCATGGGAACTTGCAGTAAGTTTCAAACATTCACGGCTCGAAATAAGGGCGAGGGAGAGTAAGGAGTGAGAGTGATTCCAAAGTACCAAGCTTAGTAATGAGCTAATTAAAACACACATATGTATTTTTTGAACTGAAAATACTCTGAAGTGGGACAATAATGCATATGGGTTGCTTTTGTTAAAAATTTTGTTTAGCCTTTTCTTTCAGCTTGCCATTAAAAGCATTTCTATAATTAGTTATGTATATAAAAAGGAAAAACATCACAGCAGTAGAAGATGTCTGGTTAATCACAAAACTACAGCTATTCTCATACTGCCATAATTGATGCCTTTGTAGCTACAGCAGCTGTGACACAGCTCCTTTAGTGCACAGCTCTGCTTTCCCAGGTATTGGTTGACAGAGCTTCTTTTAGAAGCAACTCTTACCCTGCTTGCATCCAGGCTCTGCCTTCATGTATCCTACATACACATAAAGACGTGCTAATAGTATTAGCAAATCTCCAGGGTTGGAAGGATGGACGAGAATAATGGGGTTCAATATCTGGCTCCACACACTGACCACCCAAAATTCAACTTGTATTTCTGAGCATGTTGCCCAAATGCTTCTTGAGCTCTGACAGGCTTGGTTCCGTGACCACTGTCCTGAGAAGCCTGAATACTTTACTAGGTGGCTAAAGTAAATCATTTTGTTTGCTTTTATCATGGTATGATTTGCTGACATGAAACTTGCTATTCCAGTACTCCCTCCTGACTTGCACCAAATGTGAAGATCTGTCTATAAGTTCCTCAGAGTAAGGAGAACCAGTCTTAGAGGGAAGCAGGCGGAGCCCATCCAGGTCTTCTACATTTCTACCTCTCACTTTGCTTACGTTCTCCTATCAAGCAGTGCTCACACAGGAGAAGAGTGAAAGACAAAACAGCGAGCAGTACGTAACTCTTGCTCATAAATTCCCTTCTTTATGCCTAACTACAAGAATTCATACACAGGGTACTGAAGCAATGCCAGAATATCTGGATGCATAAATCTATTTTGTATGAGAATGGATGTTGTCTAACCTAGTAATAACTAAGATCTGAACAAAGTTGATGGGTACCATCAAATGGAAGAGCATGGCCAAGTGTTTTCAAAAGACTGTACCACTGGGTACGGCTGGTACAATAAACATACCTTTTTTTTCCTATCTTTATAAACATAGCTATGCACATCCATACCTAAATATTTATGGATGTGTATGTATGTACTATTAACACAACTTTCCCCCCAAAATGAACGGAAAACATGGAGGTAGCACGTGGCAGACTGTACCACATGGCTGCCATTTACTTCGGAAACAGAAGCTAGCAAAAAGACCCCAAAGTTCTGGTCTGCTACACCTTAGTCATCAACACCATCAATTCTCCCCGCAGAGAAAGGAGTAAATAAAACATGAATGAAAAAAGCCCATCTTGTTCTCACCTGGCCAAAACTGTAGAGGGCAGCGTATAGATCAGCTAGCATCCTTACAGGAGTTCCTCTGGTAATTTTAATCCAGTTTTCAAGTATTCCTTGAAGAACAATGCGCTCTTCTGGGGCTGGTGCTGGTTCAGCACTAATGAAGACATGGAAATCAGAGTGACTTTCTTCACTGTATTGCTCAAGGAGTTTTTCCAAGATTCCTAGCCACTTAGCTGCCACATAAATACTCTGCTGGAAAACAACCAATAAGTTTATTGTGAGATAACAAATACATTTGTTATCCTCAAGACATTGTTTTTGTTCCAGGCCTTGATTTTGAACCTAATGAAATTATAAACCTAGAGTTGAGTGATATAATGGCATTACTCACTGTATAATCAATGATAATTATATAAAGGAATATTATACAATCAAATAATATTAAGATGTTATAATAATGAAACAAGCAAGAGAGTTAGGCACAGTGAGACAAAGAGAATAAATAGGATGCTCACCCATGTCGTGGGCTCGCTCAGGAAAGACCAGTGGAGCAGATCTTCCCAAGAGAGAGAGATCCTTCCCCACTGGTAGTCAGCTCTTAAATGGGTCTAGGAGAGGTGCAGCCAGGCTCCACCCCTTCCTGCAGCACAGGTGAATTGCTTTCACCTGTGCTCCCAGGGCTGACTCATTGCTCGCCTCAGGTGATCAATCAGAGGTTCAGGCCGTGACTCAGCAGTTCCCATACACTCACATATAAAAATAAGTGTGAAGTGGTAGAGCACTTGAATGTAACTTAAATTCTCTGTAGAATATGAGGCCTAAGGCAAAACATGTCCAATACATACCAGGAGCGTGACTGAAGAAGTGCTAGGCAAAGGCAAATGTTTACAGCTATCATACATAAAAATGTTTCATACCACATCAGAATCTTTATTATTCTTAATATACAAAGTGAATGGAATGTCACTGACAGATAGAAGAAGAAGTTCTTTATGAATGTAAAGAATTAATCTCCAAACCACCTGCTAGGAAATAATGGAAATATCAAGATTTAAAATGGAGCTGTGTGAGTTTCACCCATTCACTAGCCCACAATCTACACCTTTTTGTTACAGTACTAATAATTTAACTCAAATTGCAGCTCAGCCATCTCTCACTCTTCTCAAGCCATCTCTCACTCTGCGCAAGAAAATGATTGCCCCGTCTTCTCTCTCCATGCAGTGGAAGAGGAATTAAAACTCCATACACACACCAGCCAAAGAGCAGGAATATCAGCCTTGCTTGATGGCTACAGCATTACTTAATCACAAGAGCTGTCAGGAGGATGTTCCCAAATTATCCCTTGACATGTGGAAAAAGGAATGAAGGGATGGAAAGAGACTTTCATGTCACATGCCGTGGCAGTGGCCTAGTGACACCTGCGTTTTCATACAGGTTACATCCATCCATGCAGAGATGAGTTTATCCCCGTTTTATTCCTGTGACTTCAGATATGCAATGCTGTCTGTTTAGGGTCTCTACCATCTCCCATTTTCTTGTTTAGTCCCCAGAGTAACACTGAAATACATCTGAAAATTAACTCTGCTCTTGGTCTCACAATAGTTCTCTACATTCAACAGAAAAAGCCAGGGCATTTTCAGGCCAGCTGAAGTAGCTTACTCCTATGAAATCTGGTTAAAGAATTCTTTCAGCTGCAGTGTGAATGATGAGGTCAGTTTGCACGTCTGCAGACTCTCTGGCCTTTTGGTGATGCTATTTCAGTTGCTAGTGAACTCAGAGTCCAGCCCATTTCCTCATTTATTGCTGATAACTTGGTGGAGAGCTGAATGTGTGTTGCTGAGTTTAAATCCAGATGCGGAGGAAATCACCTGTAATCACCTTCTAAATATCAAGGATGGGACATGCATTTCTCCTATGATTTCTGGACAAAGGAATATTGCTGTAGCGAGAGGGAATCTGAGAATCACAGAATGGTTGGGGATAGAAGGGACTTCCGGAAGCCATCTGGTCCAACACCCTGCTCAGGCAGTTCTACTAGAGCAGGTTGCCTAGGCTCATGTCCAGGAGATTTCTGAAGATCTCCGAAGAGGAGTCTTCAGTGCTTGTCTCCCTCACAGTACAGAAGATTTTGCTTATGTTTAGATGGAACTTTGTGTGTTCTGTTTCATGCCTGTTGCCTCTACTACTGCTGTTACCTTCTTTCAGTAGCACTGGTAGTTGCAGTGCTCCTGTCAACACTGTCATATGTCATTTAGTTTGCTAGGGCATTGCATGGGGTTTCTGTCTGCTGCAGAGTTTGCAATGCTCCAGAGCTGATCAGAGCTGTTGTTGCTATCTTGGATGAGCAGTTCTCCAATAGTAATTATGCAGCTTCCCAAGAGCTAGTCAGACCCATTTTGTTAAGGTCTCCATCACTGTCCAGTGATGGACAGCATATGTGTGGAAAGCATATTCCTGAGAACAGCCCTACCTACTCACCAGAGGCTTTCTCTGTTATCTCTGTTGCTCCTCCTGGGAGGGCAAGGATAACATTAAGAAAAATATAGCATACAGTCTATTAATATAATGTTTATCCTGTTACAATTAAGAGTGAAAAAAGAACAAGATTATTAGCTGTTTAAAACTTTTGCTGTAACCTTCTTCATATTTTGTTTGTAATCTGGGAACATCCCTCCAACCGAGTGTACAGTTGCCTTCAGAGAGGCCATTTAACACTGACTTGGAGAAGCAGCCAGTGGCCATACTTGGCAGCCTTATCAAGTCCTCGTCCACAACCATCTCCTGCCCTTGTCCTAAAGAGATATGAAATCTTCCAGAGTCTATAGTGGAAGCTTTTTCTCTGTAAAATAAATAATTGGGGGAGAATGAATGGCGGAAGGGGAGGAGATAGGAAAATTAGCAGAGCAGAAAGGAAAAAGAATGATAATGCCCCCATTAATTCCACTATCACTTGTGCAATGCATATTACTTCTTCTGAAGCACTTCACTAAACCCTTAGAATTTCAACAAGCAAAATTGCGAGCTCTCAACAGTGGCCTTATTGCTGGTATTAGAAAAAGCCTGCAGAAATCTGTTCCCTTGGTTTTAAGATAATGAACCTTTTGACATTTTGATAGATGCTCAGCATTGTTACTGAGCTTTAGAAACTCTTACAGGGGGTACAGAGCAATTCCCTTGTAAAAAAGGGAGCAACATGTGGTAGATATCACATCAGTTTTTTAACTGATTGGTTCAGTGGGTAAATGCACAAGTCTCTCACCTTGTGAGGCCTGAGTTTAAATTGAGCACAGTGAGGTCACAGCTGTATTAACCTGGTATTCTCACTATTGTCTGTAGGGAATAGTAATCCTAAGTATAAAGCGACAGAACTCTATACAATTGAGTATAGTTTGTATAATGACCATTATTTAGTCACAGGGGGCACAAGATTACATGAGCATGGAGAAAATTGCCCTCTGGCCCTCATCTAGTCAAAAGGTAGAAAATAGTACAAAGGAAACCTGCATTATGCCAAGCAGAGGAATGCTCAGTCTAAACATTTCTTCACACTGTAGCACTTATGGCCTTATACTTTTCATCCACCCAATTTACCATGAATATGGTGGGGGAGGAAGAAATTTAGAACTTGAATCTTCTGCTGAAAATAAACCCTAGCCAACTTTTCCATGGTAACGCATACTCCATTTTAATGACAGACCATTCCAGAGGGCTTCAATCTGTTTAGTAAAAATAAACTCATATACACTCATGTATGTATGGGTACATACATACAAGCATATATATAAATATCACATATTGGTATGTTTACATATATGGCTCTGTATGGTCCATTTCAGTTGGGAGCTCATTTTTTCTTTAGTTAAGCATGCCTGCATGATTCTTGCATCAGAAGCAAATAAGAAGCTTACCTAGATCTCCATGTCTTCAAATGGGTTTGCACCTGGAGATGGAAAGAAAAACAAAGGACAGGTTGGACTGCTTTCTTTGTATGACTTTACTAAATCCATTCCTTTGCCTTCCACATATCTCAAGCTACACTCTGCTTCCACAGAATTCCTGAATGTACAGAAAATATGTTCTTAAATAAAAAATGTTCCCTGATGTACACTTTAAGCCCTCACTATTCTTAAACTTGAAATCTGATAGGGATGGCCTAAGCAGTTTCATTAAAGACAGTGTCAGGAAAGTGAATTGTTACCAAAAAAAGTAGCCAGATGGTGATCTGTTTCTCAGTGCAATAGAGACCACAGAAAACTGCATGAGAATTTGAATGAGAAGGACTTCTTCAGTAGCAGAATCAAAGAAGTCAATAAATGCAGGCAATGCTGTCTTGTAAATCCAGGGCACTTGGGCACAATAAACACCCAGGACAGAAAAACTGCTTTCTCAGAAGGCATCTAAATGGGTAAGAACAGTGATGCTGTGGTTTGAAGGATCAGATCTATGAGACCACCACTTAGGACCAGAAGATTAAAACAGTACAACTAGAAAGTAACTGAGATAAGAACAGATTGAATCTTTGCTGAAGAACAGAATTTTTCAAAACAGGATACTGAATTTTAAAAAAGAAATCACAAACATATCTTCAAACATGCCACAACTCATGTCTCAACAAACCACCTGTTAGTAAACTCTCACAAGCAGAACAGTCTGGGAATGGCCACAGGAGTTTTTTTTTTTTCAAATTCTGGGCAATCACCCAGTTTTATAAGTTCTTTGCCTACTTCTTAAATCTTTTTTTTTTTTTCTCCTTGTATTTACATAAAAGCTACTCTCACACATACTCACCCTGGCAGATGTCATCAGATGACACCTATGAGCACATATCATTCTTTCCGGATGGATTGTCACCAGTATGGTTGGTTTCTGAAGAGAGCTTTTGTGTTTCCATTCCCAGGAGAGCTTTTCCTTTTTTGGATATTTTTGAGTCCACTCACTTTTTCCCCCTCTAGGTGGATACTTCAATATCTTTATCTAACTTTTTGAACACATCCATCACTTCCATAGCCTAGAAACATAACAAAGGCAGAAATGCAGATGACACACTTTCATAGAATCACAGAATCTTAGGGGTTGGAAGGGAACTGTGGAGATCATTAGTCCAAGCCTCTTAAAGCAGGTTCTCTAAAGTGGGTTACACAAGAAAGCATCCAGAAGGAGACAACAACCTCTCTGGGCGGCCAGTTCTGATAAACAAGTTTTTCCTATTTTTTCTTTTTGTGTGAAGGATGAAAAGGGAAAACAAATATTGATACTTCCAGGAATATGTAAAAAAAAAGCCTGGTTTAACCAATTGCAAAAGACTCAAGGTGTACCTTAAGATACTAAATCATACATCCACAAATACTATTATTTATAAGAGTTGATTTTTGCCTGTATTGCTTTACAATCTCCTTATTGTTAAACATTAAGATATACCAAAGTAGAAACCTTGTGTGGAACATTTAATATAATAAGAAGCAGTATGAAGATCAGTGATATCTTTCTAGGACACAAATTATAGTATAGCTGGATTTCCTCACAATACACAATGGCTGAGGAAAAATGTATTCAAAAGGCAAAGGCAACTCTTTGAAAGCATCACTATTTCTACCACAAATTCCTAAATATATGACTTTATCTGAGATTGTCTGGGTCTCCAGAAATAACATAAAAAATGATTTAGAACTAAAAAGCAATTTTCTCAATCTAATCTAATGGCACTTCATGACTGAGTACTTAGGAAGTCAACAGGACTCTGGTAAGTGCATTCAACTCTGAATCAAAGAAGGAAATCCAATTCAAGTACTTCTACCTCTTTATTTCTTAGAAGAATCTTGACAGTGTACAAAATTGAAAAAGGCCATCAGACTTGGTTCAGAGCCACTTCAGCCTTAAAGTATTCAGCACTCAAAGTTTCATTGAGTAGGAAGCTCAGAGCTACAAGAACTCCTATGGCTGCTTTTTCTGAATCTTTGACACAAGAATTTACATCTTGGTTTAAGGTTACTTTGAAACACTAGGTTGAAATCTATTGCAGATAGAATGGTGTTCAGATATATTTGTTATAAAAGATTTTGACAGATTTTTCCAGAACCATTTTTTCACATGCATGCAATTGAACTTACCTTTACTCTTAAAATCACCTTGAAAATCAAATGCAACCTGACAGTCATATATTTTTGCAGAATATAGAATTGTTGTTCATTTATGTGCTGAATGGTAAATTCACCTAAATTTTAAAATGAGCTATCAGCACTTATTTTTCCTTAGATTAGGGGAACATAAACAAGCAAAAATGTGAATCTTGAGCACTGAAGATAACTTTACATAAACTTGGCTACAAATTATTTTACACTGCACTACCAAAGAAGAAATTATTTCTGAATTCCATCTAATTATCTTCAAGTATCCATTTTATGTCTCAAAAGGCAGAAGTACAAGTCATGCACACCTGTCCACATCATCTTTCTAGGCCCTCTTCAGACTGCAAGCTGTCACAAACCTTTGGGAAATTTGCCATTTCTGAGTTGCTTTTTTGATAATGGTGGTGATAAGTTTTTTGGTTTTTTTTCTCTTTTTTCTTTTTTTTTTTTACATTGATAGTGGAATAGATTCATTATCATTTTGATGGAAATTTCAACTTTGTAGAAGTAGGCTACAAAACTATAGCAACCAAAACAGTTCTTGCACTTGGACTGAATGCATATCAATAAAGCTTCCTCCATGACTAATAGGGTTTCTTCTAGTTGTTTTCCCACTTTAATTGCATATATTCCAGAATTTTTCTTGCTTTCCTGCATGCAAGATAATCAATTTGCTTACAAATGAAGGCTTATGAGAAGAGATGTCCAAAGCCCTCAAAAACACGAAGCACTGGGGGGTTGAACCACTTCTGCCAAGAAGCTTTAGAAGAAACTTTCAACAATCCATGAGCAAGTGCTGAAGACAGCAGTACTCTTCTTCTTCCTTATTTAACTCAGCAGATGTATCCCTCTCACTCAAGAAAGCCAATAATTTTGAGTTCTTTCTCATAGCATCAGTAGTTTGAAAGATTTGCCACAATGGATTGCTCACAGACAATCCCTGACAGCTCCTCCTCCCTGACCCTGTGGGATGGCTGCAAAAAAGGCAGGTAAGCTTGAGAAACACAGTCAGAAATCTTCATCAGAATGGAGCAGCTAGCATTGAGGTACCTATATAGAGGTACTGTAAACCAACAAGAGGTTACATGGCATTGTCCTTTCTCAGTCTCACAATATTGTCACCATAATTATCTGGTACAAATAATAATCAATATACATTGGACTTCACTGCTGGAGACCCAGCACTTTATTTCTTGCATTGTGAAACCAAATCAAGACAGAGAATTGTGTAACTTCAGTGAGTAATGGTAGATGGGGCTGATGCTGTCCAGACTATTCTAATGAAGTAAAGAGATGGATCAAAAGGAAATAAAAAATGATTACATGACAATTCCTTACCATAAATAAGAAGCTGTGAACATGTGGGTGGACAGCACTTGCTGGACAGACAGGAATTTGACTGCTCCTGTCTCATAGGAGTATTTTGCTCAAAATAATTAATTATACACATTTTACAGGTGAATTCAAGATGTTAAAATTAGTTCAGCAATTATTACCTTGCAATATATTTCTCTGGCAGTTGACTCAAATTTCTCTACAAGTTCACTGCCACCTACAAAACTGCTCTGGGCAGCTGACAGACTGAGCAGCATTTTGGTCTCAAGCTGCTTGAGTTTGATTTCAAAGAGGTCCTTCTGCTTCTCCAGCACTGACTAGCAGAGAGAAGGAAAACATTGCATTTAAACAATAAAAAGTAGCATTAAAAATACTGTTTTGTAGCATTCGTGAGCTGCATTTTCCATTTAATTACATCTGTTGATTTAATTTAATTTCTGTAAGAGAGAGCTTCTGGGACACTAAAGCAAGAATGTCAAGGTCATAGTCAAGGAGAGCACAGTCAGCACAGAGTAGAACTTCAGCTTTTTCCTAGCCTTCTTTTTCAGACCATGCAAAAGGGTTGGGATCTTGCCAGAGATGAAAAACAGTAATCTGTATGTAAGCTGAAAAAAACTAGAGTAGCTTCAGGTTGAAGAACCCCACTTTGGCAGCAAGCAGGGTGAGGAAGCATGGTTGTAGTCTGCTCTGTTGTACAGACCTTCTAAAGAGCAATAGCTTGACTGATCTCCTTGTAATTTTCCCAGTCTGATCCTCACAACAAAATCCTAAATGACAGAGGTGTGCTAAGCATACAGCCCCATGTGGAACAACGTTTTGATGGAGAGAAAAATAGCCAGATGCTTTCACATCACGGTCTCAAGCATTCTTCTAAGGGTGATTAAACTTTCAGAACCAGCTTGCCCTTGCATGAAGCAGCAAGGAGATGCAGTGAATTTTTGCTGGTAAAGTTTTTAAAGTGCATGAGTTAAATGGACATATATGTTAGGGAAAAAAGGAAGCATTCTTTTTTTTTTAATTTCATATCTGTAAGTAATTTTTTTCTTTTTTAGCTTGTAGATCAGTCTGCTCAATTTCCCCTTTATGATCATTTGTGCAGATATTTCTGCTCATAAATTACTGTGTATTTGTTATGACGCCAACAACCACAGAACTGCATCGTTGCAGGAATAAATTATGATTTATTAACCAAGTGCCCCAGGTCTTAACAGTGCCATCATATCCTCTTATGGACTGGAATGAAATTTATTTGCACTTATTGGCTCAAGATCATTGAAGCACAAAGCACTGCAGAGGGTTTTAATCCTGTACTGTAAATTAAAGGCAATGCACAGAGCAAACTGAGCAGTAGAAAGAAGTGTGGGAAAAACATCACAATGAATTTAATTTCTAGCAGAGCTTTAGGTAGAGCACAGCTCTCTGCGAGCGCCGATTTAAGCAAATCTATAGAAACACTTTCAACAGTTTACAATATCTGACCCTTAAAATCTCTTTAATGTGTGGGTTACTAATAATTACTGTACGGCAGTTGCAAACAGGCATATTAAAATCTCAGGAGTAACAGAAAGATAAAAATACATTTTTTACCTTATGGTTTTCCAAGTCAGGAAACTGGTCCTCAGAAAACAGCTGTTCTTCCAGCCTGTCCCTGGTGACAGTGAAAATAATGAGGGTGGTCTGAGCCTTCAGCTCCGGCTTGTGGGGAGGATTAGCAAGTTTAGAGTGAAAGATGAGATGGAAATTCCTGTAGAATTCACTTTTTTTTTTTTTTTTTTTTTTTTTTGGTCTTCAAGCTGGATACACTTGAAAAGGAATAAATTGCACAAGAAGGGGGAAATCATAAAAATCCTAATTGCAAAAGATGGGTATTGTATAATTTTGGCAGCACAAGAAACAGATGCAAACCAAACTTTATGTGCCTGCAGTTTATGGAACAAAACAATAACTGAAGAGATCAAAACAATATGAAAAATTCATACAGCATTTCTTAATTGGCAGTTTCGTTTGCATATACAGCAGACATCACTTTATTCACTGCTGTGCTGAAGAGTTGGTGGCATGGGGTAAACTTACCTATCTTGATTGCTCAACATAAACTCAGAAATGTTTTCAAACAGTTCTTTATCACATAGCTGTTAGTTCTTACAATTGTTTCTTTAAGTGATGTTTTTTTCAGTTTTGTTTTTTTTTTATCATTTGAAATAGCTTTGCAAGAAATTCTACAGCACTAAGCAGATACGAAAGAATGAATCATTCTGGGTTCACTTTTTGTCAGTTGAACAAGAACCCGTTACTGAAGAGATGCCATTTTCTCACCAGATCAGTTTTAAAAGTGATTGCTATACTACTGTGGCTGAGTACTGAAATGCAACTCATGAAAGCCTTATCAGCATCTGAATGAAACAAATCTGTACAAACATAAATACTGATTTGTTTTTAGGATATCAAAGCGCACCTCCCGAGTCAGGGGCATATATTTCAACTTTTAGTATCCTTGCCTACTTCTGTCATCCACTTAGCCAGAGTCAGAGACTAAACAAAACAATGTTCTGAATGCACTTTTGTATTTCACCAAGGACCAGGAAGAAATAGCAGCCAATTATGATATACTGCAAATGAATTCCTAAGAATAACTTAATGTGCTGAAACCCATGACTCTAAAAGACAACTTCAGATGTGTGCATAATGTATGCACTAATGCAATGCGGTCTACTGGAGGTGAGCATTCCTGGCTTGAGCTCACACACCATAGCCATAGCTAGGTACATTCAACCACACAGACATGCACCCTTCCGTAGATGGAGCAGAATTCTCCTCTCAGCTCTGCAACATGGATTTCAGTTCTAACACTACAGCTTCTTCACAGTCTTCAAAATTGTCTGCAGATGGAGATAACGGAACATTGCAGCTCGATACAGAGCCATTTGGCTGTGCTTTCAACACAGAAGGTAAAAGACAGAAGCAGAAATCTGATGAAAGATAAATTTTAGTTTGCTTTGACAGTGGAAAGAAAAACTAAGAGAATTGCACTGCTTACTTTATGGGTTCTCAATTTACAGGAGCAATAAATTACCAATTTTTTGTGATTGTCATTTATGAAAGGCAAATACTACATAATCACTCAGTTTTATTACTGCTACTATTCTAGGATTTGTGATCAGATCTGGAAAAAATAAATGTTATGTTATTGCTCTTGCTTGGATTAAGGAGTATAAGCAAAAACTAAAAACACAAAGGTAACTCAGTAGAAATACCTTTTTTGTTTTGTTTTATTTTTAATGAAATGCATCCATTTAAAGTTTATGTCTGGATTCTGAAATAATGCAGTATGTATAGGTACCATTTATGGAAGTGCTTGATGGATGGCATAGTAAAAAATGAACTCCAAAGAAATTACTAAAGAGAAAATATACTTTTGATAATTTTTTCTTCATAATCATTTATTCCACCAGCAGAGACAGATAGAACTGATCAAATTAATGTGCCATTCTAGCCAGGAATACACAGAGTGATTCATCTAAGATCCAGCTCTCTGTTATTTTGAAAGATACTGTTTTCCTGCTGGAATTCTCATGGATCATGAAAAAGTAGATTAAAGGATTCAAAAGTGGTTCCCAAAGCACTTTTAAAATCCTGTGTAAATATTGAGGAATAACTGGTTTTCAATAAGAGTGTTAAGAATGAATACAGCTCGGAAGCTAATGCGGCACTGAGATCTGTGAGAAGCCCAGGAATGAGTGCAGTGTCTGTTCTGACCTTTCAAAATCTGAGTTCTCAGCACAATAACTGCTTTCCCCTGTGCAAGTGCTGCCTAAAGAAACAATGTGTAGGACTTTCAATCAAAGCATTGAATAAAGATAAAAATATGTTGATGATATAATAACAATTTCATATCATGAAATGACTCAAGTTTATAAAAAAAAATTCTTATCAAACACTTTAGTTCAACTCAAAATTAGAAAGGGTATATAAATATAAAGTGAATTATCAGCTGCATAACATGATTGTTCACCATAGTCACTACCATTAGCTGTGCATTTTCACCAGCAACAAAAAAGAGCTCACATGCAGCACTTGTAGAAACCTGCACCAGTGAAGGTGAACCACTGTTACTGTTGCCAACACTAAAATACACCACGCACCACCTCACTGTGCTCACATCCACTGCTTGGTCTCCATAAATGTTCAGCAAACATCAATAAGTTTCAGTGGGTGCCATTTCTTCTGCATGGAAGAATTCAATTCCACCCCTTTGCTTCACATGCACTTCCATGTCAGACGCCATTCTGTCAGACTGCCCCTCTGCTGCCATCTGTCACACAGCAAGAACATGTAACGGAATATTGATAGGAAGGTTCAACCTCTACTGCCATACCACCAACATCCGCCTTGACATCATGGACCAACATAATAAAATAGGAGGCATTGCTTTCAGAGCATCCCTCATATATAGGTCTATTTATATAATCTCTCTATTATTATCCTTACTGTTATTTCTCTCTTTCTTTTCTGTCTTAATAAATAGTTTTTATCTCAACCCATGAGTTCTACCCACTGGGAAGAAATCACACTGGGAGGTGAGGGCGTGAGCAAAAAGCTGTGTAGTGTTCAGCTGCTTGCCAGCTTAAACCACAACAGAAAATAACTGATAAATTCTTGGATGGGAAAAGAAAGGGAAATGAAAGGGAAACAGTATTTTTCAGTATGAAGAAAGAGGGATAAACACATTTTCCGGAGGAGCCTTTCTTTCACTTCCTGCTGCTTAAAATTAAAAGCTTCTGGAAAAGACTTGCAAACTCCACCAAGTAATGTAGAGATTGTAGAAAAAATCAGGTGAAAACAAGTGCAGAAGGGAACTGTTATTAGGCAGTCTCAGTAGGCAGACTGTGTAAGTTGGTCAAACTTGTTCAGTGGAAAAATGCTGCCTTAGAGTTGCACAGCTGGCAAGATGTTCAAGGCAAGGAGAGCCATCCCTGTAGAGAAACCAAAGGAATTGTCTTGCTGAGCTTATGTGTGAATAACAGTCACGCCCCATGAGGATGGAAAGTTGTTCGTTCAAAAACATTTGCACATAAATCAAATTTCTAGACATCTTAAATAATCCTGAATAGCTCAGTCTCACAGCAGAAGAAACATGACTACTATTTGCGAAGGCACGGAGGAGCTGAGTAGGTGTAGCAGCTCATATGAGTGCAAACAGCAGTCTTATGAGCAATGAATTTATCCCTCTATCATCTCCATTGCTAGTCAAAATGACATTGACTTAGTATAGCTAATGCTTACATACAGTTATCTCTAAAACAGTGGATCAGGGGAGGCAGGATAAGAAATACACAGATAAACCTTAAATATCAAAGTTTGTCCAGACCAAACCTATTCATTGGCATCACTTCTCTTCTGCAATCAGCAGGCTAGAGCAAAAACAATTGTACAAAACTATTACTTGCTTACTTCCATACCTTGAGCTGTTTGTTCCAACAAATCTGTGTGTGCGCATTCTGAATCATTTTTGCATATGCTGCCAATAAGTAGCACCTAAATTTTACTTTTTTTTTTTTTTTTTTTTGTATCATCTGTGCTTACATAGAGCTGTGTACTGCAACAAATAAGGTTTGAAATTAACAACTTTTGCCTTTTCTTTCTCCTCTCTAAGAGAAAAATGAAATAAAAATATTAGCATTAGCATTTTTTAGTTCTTTTCAACATGGGATCAACATACATTAAGATCCACTGAGCAGGCTTTCAGCTCGAGAAAGCTGAACTGAACTAAAACTTGAGCACCATAAGCTTGTTAGGCTTCTGAGTACTAGCTAGGGCACTTGGGTAAAAAATCTAGTTTTCAGAGATAACAAGTACCTGTAGTTCACACTATAATCACCCAAGTTTTGAAGAAAATGTAAATGTATACATATATTTGAAGAGTCCTGAAGCTGAGAGTCTCTTTTTTTGTCTTCATTCAAAACCAATGGCGGAAGCAGTACAAAATATCTGAGTCTGACACAAATATAATCCTGGTAAGCAGTATGGGGAGGAATAGAATTTTATGAAGCTGCTTCACAGAACAGAAAGTTCTCTAATATGCAGGCCAGTAAATTTGCTTTGGAAGGAGTACAAGTTGATAAATCTCCCTAGCTATGCTTTCTGTCGATTGATATGATAAGATATATTTTACTTAAAATTAGGATTGTCTGAAGCTCAGTGGATTTAATTATTTGTAATTATCCAGTTGTTGTCAGTATGTGGCCATTTTATGACAGTGGTATCTACTGTGTGGGTCAGGTTCAACTGTATATCTTTTCAAACACAGAATTAATGTACTATTGATGAAACCATTACTAGAACCAAATTAAAGTCTGGACTGATGTATTGGTCCACAGGGTGCTGTCAGACATGAAAGGAGTAATTAGTATTCATTACCTCATACTCTGCAACATTCCAATTATTAATGAACTTCAACTGCTGGACTGCACCATATCTATCACAAATACCTTTCTAGTCTTTCTTTATTAGGAAGAAAAAAATACCAAAGTGCCTGACACAACTACAAAAATAAACAAATAACAGAAATTAATCCAGAATGAGGGAAACTCTCCTTCTTTTATAATACAGGGGTGCATATATTACCGGTGCCTCACAAAGGAGACCTGCCTCATCTTCTGCAAGCCATGGAACACTGAGTCAGTTGTGCTGCTAAA